GTTCGAGCATGGTATGGTGCGATAAGAGCGTGTTATCTTGTCAGTTGCGCTCGGAAATATTCACCGATCGGATTAGGGGACATGCTCGTCCCGTTGTTCCTTAAGGTTCAATCCAGAATCCAAGCAGACAATCGAATAGTGACTGGTAAGTGCGCAGAAGGAGGAGCGTAGTGACCCAACTCCGCGTTCAACGCTCAACCTCTCACCTCTCGTGGTGCTAGCACGTGCGCACGCGCCAGTGTCTGCTCCCACCACTCCGGTCTGACTGATCACATTCAAGGCTGACTCACACAGGCCCTCAATGTGAAGCATACCACGTTTTCCCACTTCGGACGTACGCTCGTCTGACTGTCAACTTCCTCTAACCTATTCTCCACTACCTCTGTACAGAATACCCTATTCATTCGACCTGGCGCGTCCAAATTCTTCTCTTCCCCCTTGGAAACTGACCTGATGATCGCAGGGGCAGGGGTCTTTCCTATTAACTTAAGTCGCGGCGATCATTTCTTCTTGTCATGTAAAGCCTTCAGTACTTTCAATCAAATTAGCCTTATATCAGATTATCTTTTGTTTTAAAGAAACTAAAGGGGACGTGGTTCGAATCCCAACTGGATGGTAGTGTCACGTGGAGGCTACATTAAAAAGGCGCCATTGCAGTCTGACGCTCTGTTTTGGCAGAAGGCCCGAGTTATCTCGTTAGTTGGCAGCCGTCCAAGCCACGGCTTTACCTCACCAGCATAGATTCAAGCACGTTCGATTGTTTTAAAGGAGGAATATGCGTTGCGACAGTCAACTTCACTGTCTCCTTCCTCGCCCAGACTCAGGATAACTCGTCTGCGCATGCCTTACACAGATGCACGTATAAATGGAGCAGTAAAGTTCCTCACCTAGCTCCTTCAGGCTCAGCATCTCCCATTCCGACCAGGGTCCAGGACCAGCAGGTGTCCACGCCCTCACTCGAACACGATAAACTGTTCCGAAGGAGATACCCGTTTTGGCGGTCTTCGCCTCTGACGAGAGACTCAACAGGGAGACCTGACCCGAGGGCCAGAACAGTGTGCCTCGGGGATCAGCCTGCCGTGGGTCGGAGCTGGAGGAAGTGTTGAGGCGTTTCAGTTCCCAGTCCTTTAAGCCCGCCG